TTCCTTCCTCTTCCTTCCTCTTCCTTCCTCTTCCTTCCTCTTCCTTCTTTCTTTCTTTTGCGAATATGAGTTTTATTGAGTAATTACCAGAATAGCATTTTAATGAAGCAGCATCTTTTCTAAGCTGTGGTACTTACGTTGTGGTAGTCTCAATGTTTTTCTACTTTTGATTTGTAAGTAATCCAAGTAGCCATCATTTTCTCCGTAAAAGTAATTTGGGGTTAAATTTCATTTGTATGAAAAATGGGAGACTTTTATTTCCAGGACTTTCCTTTGAGAAGCCAGATCTTGAGAGCTGGTGAGGAAAGCTTAGGAAAATTGAATAGCTTAACACCATTCTTTGTCTTCATGACCGTGTGTGGCTGTGGAAACTCCTCTCATAACCTTTGCGCAAAGACAGCGTAGTAAAGAAAAACTGGTCTGAAAAACTGTTTTCTGTTTCATCCCTATTCACGGAAGCTATTCCATGAAATCCAAAAGACTGCTGGTTCTTAGGTCATCTGTTTGTAATCGTACTTTGCTACTGCTGAAGGCAACGGTAGGATCATTGGAATGAATTGTGATGGAGGATTAATAGTGATAACAGTTCTATTTTCTTTTTCTCTGGTCTCTCATCTGAATACCAAGCATTGTAGTCAATTTCAGCTTTTAACATCTGGCTCATGCCAGCAGGAGCAGTTGGACAGCAGCTAGGGGATGAGCCTCACAGCACAGAAGCCAAATGATTTGTAAAGGGTTTTTTAAAAATACTACCATGCTTCATCCCCTGAGTTACAGAAATTTGTGAGAATGCATTTTTCACATTAAACAGAAACTTGATAATTCTGCAATATTTCAAGGTATTACAAATTGTTTTGCTTTTCCTAACCTCTTTCATAAGCCATTGCAATACTGGTGATAATCTTTTTACTTGAAAGCGATGTGATATGAAGTGATGAAGTTGATGACTTACCTGACCCAAAGCATGGAATGTAACAAAATGACCATAAATGCAGAATGCCCTTGATACGTCCTGAAAATATTTTCTTTTTTTCATTTCAAAGGTATTGCACTTGCTGAAGCCTTTTCAAAGTTCTTCTCTCCTACGCTTCTGAGAATTATTCGTTTGGCACGAATTGGCCGCATCCTGAGGTTGGTCAAAAGAGCCAAAGGAATTCGAACTCTTCTTTTTGCCTTATTGATGTCTCTTCCGTCTCTGTTCAACATTGGCCTCTTGCTATTTCTGGTTATGTTCATTTATGCTATTGTGGGCATGACAAATTTTGCCTGTCTTGCCTGGGAAGGTGGGATCAATAACCTTTTCAACTTTCAAACTTTTGATAGTAGCATGCTCTGTCTCTTCCAAATTACAACGTCAGCTGGCTGGGATGGCCTCTTGAGTCCAGTGTTAAAAGATTCCAAAAACTGCGCTCCCAACGTAGCAAATAAGAACAGCACTACTTGCAAAAATGAAGTGGTTGGTATTACATTTTTCGTAAGCTATGTCATCATATCCTTCCTTATTGTTGTAAATATGTACATAGCTGTCATCTTAGAGAATTTCAGTGTTGCCACTGAAGAAAGTGCAGATCCTCTTTCTGAGGATGACTTTGATATGTTTTATGAAACCTGGGGAAATTTCGATCCTCAGGCAACGCAGTTTATTGAATATTCTGCACTTTCAGACTTTGCAGACGCTCTGGCAGAACCCTTACGCATTCCAAAGCCAAATACAATTCAGCTCATATCCATGGACCTCCCAATGGTGAGTGGAGATAAGATTCACTGCTTGGATATCTTGCTTGCCTTCACTAAACGGGTTTTGGGAGAAACTGGAAATTTTGAAGGTCTTGAATTACACATGGAAGAAAAATTTATGGCTGCCAATCCATCTAAGGTTCCCTACAAGCCAATTACTACTACACTTAAAAGAAAGCAAGAGGAGGTGTCAGCGCTTGTTATTCAGAGGGCCTTCAGGAGGCATTTGCTGCAGCGTTCTCTGAAACATAAGCCTTTCTTAAACTGTCGCAGACGTTACAACAGTGCGGTGTACGCCAAAGAGGTGCATGAGAAAGATGGTCTCATTGCATCAATGCTGAGTGAAAATTATGGGAGGAAGCTAGATAAATCTCAGACTACATCTTCCATCTCCCTCCCGTTATTTTATGATGGTATTGCTGGAACAGATGCTAATAAGGTGGGCACATAGTTTGTCCCAAGCTGCAGCATTTGTGATAAAACTGACAGCTGTTTTCTGGCAAAGAAAACGTTTTGCTCCCAGAGCATGGTATTCTAAATGTAAAGAGATTATAATATCTATTAAGTATGGTAATTATTCTATTTTGCAAATGCTCCTTAAATAAGATTGCCACAAATATGTCATAAAAATTAGATGAAACTCAAACTATGGATTTTTTTTTTTTTTTAATCAGCTGGTGGAGCTCCTGAGTTAATTTTTACTTGTGTTTTTTTTTTTCTATTTTGTTCCTTCATATTTCTGATTATATGGAAAAAATCTGTACAAGGTGTGCTGTAATATGGTCAGTAGGCACACAGGGCTGTAGAACAATGCATATCTCCTCAGAGAGAATGCCTGGATTGTAAACTTGCTTGTTGTAGCAAAATGAAATAATTACTGCATTATCTGTGAAGGCGCTCATTCAGGATGCTTAAATATAATCACTTGTAGGTTGTCTGAGACCATCTTCCTCCTGGTTCCTTTGGGAGTATTTACACTGAAGGATTCTTGATGTCTTTACACGTGCAACTAAGTGGATTTAGCAAATGATCCTCCAGTGGCTGTGCTTGAAGGTTATACGTAATGTGTTCTTTGTGTCATTCAACGCAGGAAAACTGTGATGGCAGTGTTTGAAAAATCAAAGGGGCTTGTGTAAGAGCTGTTATTTCATGGAAGTCTTAACAATTACTGTACCTAAGTATAAATACTGGCTTTAAAACAACAACAACAACAACAACAAAACGTATGGATGAGTTTGTATTAACATTACTTTCACTGTTTTTTATCAGATTGGTTCCATCAGGTGAACTGACACAGTTGTCTCAGATCTGCTGATGAACTGTGGGTAATTAATAAAGAGCTCAGATGCTTACATGGTTTTGTCTGGTTTGCAAGAGGTGTCTTATCTTTCAGTTTTGGTTTATTACATGACACAATCTGCTGTTAGAGAATACAACCACAGCAGGGGCTTGGAGCTTGATTAAGGGGCCTTCCAACCTCAGCCATTGTATTGTTCTATGAAATAGAACTGTTCAATAGGACAAAAAAAAAAAAAAAAAAAAAAAAAACTCTGAAAGTTTTACTCATTATCAAATCAAAAAGATTAACACTTCTAGCCCATGTATCAAGTAATTACTTCTCACAGTTATTTCCTGTACTAAATACTATTAAAACATGAAAAATAAAGGCAAATCTAAGCATAGGATAAGTAGAAGCACATCAAAGTTGAGAGCTAACAAGTTTAGGATTGAACTGTATTACTTCCAGAGCAGCTTACATTTGGGAGAAAAAAAAAAAAAAAAAAAAAAAAAATTGACCTTGCAAACCTTTTGGGACAACTCAGATTTGTGTGCATGGACATAGTGGCTGTGCTTGGCACCATTCCTGTGCACCACAGGTTGCTTTTGTGCACAGCGAGTGATGCTCTGCAGGCAAAACTACTTCTGTGAGCCGCCGTGAGTTGTCAGCTCGTGTTCGACAACGAGGTGCCGTTAGATGGCAGCGTTTACTGTGCTTTAGAAGGTGGCCAGTCAAGCGAAGCAGATGGCAAACTTCCACGTGGAACTATTAAATTAATTGTAAGTAACTTCGAAAATAATGTCACAGTTCTCTGTTTTTCTGCACTGGGCTCTCAAGCTGTAGCCACGGTTCTCAGCAGGGGCTCTTTTTGCTGGCTGTGAACGGGATTTCACATGTGACAGCTTGACAGATCTTCATTATTGTGAAAGACTGCCTCCTGCAAGCAGCCGTCCTCCTACCACGCTGCATCTTCCAGGCACTGGTTGTGAGCGCGTCTCTGCTCACCGCAGTGGGAAACGTTTGTTAGGCAGGGGTGAGAGTGCTGTGCTCTTGTGTCCTGGAATAGAAAGAAAGACTGGGACAGGTACGTGAGAGTTTTAAACAGCGTTTTATAAGATGCCAAGGTTTTTCTTGCATCAGATTTTTACAGTTTAAGGTTACGTTGAGTGAAACAGCGGGTGCTATGTCGTAGTCTGGAATTGGAAACATCAGAGATTTGAAGGCCTCATTTTCATTGCTGGGACTATTATATATTACAGCTGGTATATGCACATCCTTGGGGATTATTTCACCTCAGAACCATAAAAAAGGCTTTATGCACAGATCAGGATTGCTATTCGGATTGAGAGATCTGTTGTATTATGCAGGAGGAGCTGTACTTATTGCCACTGTTCTTAACTACCACCAAGTAATAGCAAGTCTGATTTGGGTCAGCAGACTTTACAGGGTTGCCTTCCAAAACCTCTTTCACCTGCCAAGGAAAAGTTCTGTTGTTTCAGAGCTGAGGAATAAAAATAGAGCTGGTGCATGCAGAGCTGCTCATCCTTGCTGCTGGATCCTTGCTCAGAACACGGGCATGCCTTCTGCAGGAGCACTTCTGTGTGTATACCTGGTACCTTATCACACCTGGATGCAGGGGATGGCTTCTTCAGTCACTGCTATGGTTGTAGAAGGCTTTTCAGTTTTAACAACCCGCCAGTTATCAGCTTCACAAATTCATACTTATTAATGTTTTTGGTTGCATTATTAAAAAAAAGAAAATCATGGCCTACTTTGCCTCTCATCGATACTAAAAATGTTATAGAATCTTAATAGGAAATTAACAGTGCAGTATCAGTAATCCTGTTAGCTAGTTCACTTAGCACAGTGTCTCATCCCAGATGCATAGTAAGGAAATGTCCCATATTCTGATGACTGATGGAATAGCAGCACAATGACCCTTCCTTCTCCTTTGGTATCCTGAAGTATTGTCATTTCTAGCAAAAGGATATTCTGAAATGAGAGCTTAGAAGCATCCATTGTGCCTTCCCTGCTCAAAACAAGCATCGTGTAACAGCAGATTTTAGTTCCAGAGGTGGAACCTGTATCATAAAAAAAAATTGGGAGCAATCAAAGGAAACTTTCTTCCTGATTCTCAGTCCAACAGTACAACATCCCAAGCTTTGCTTTAAAGAGGCAGATATTCCTGCTGTTTAACTCAGATATTTACAAATTCAAACCCAGCATTTCAGTGCTCTGCTACCAAGAAGTAGTCATAGATGATTAGGAATGAACTTCCACATCTCTTAAAAATTAATGCAGCTCAGTTTGGGGAGGTTCCTCAACATAAGAGACAGTAGAGTAAGTCTAGGACTAACAAGTTGGTGAAGCACATGACCATAAAGAGGGGGTGAAAGACTGTTTTATTTAATCTTAAGAAGAAGAGGTGAAAGGATGGCTCTAAGTTTTGCCCTCAGCTTCCCAAAAGGTGATCATAGAGATGGGAGAGTGTCTCTGGGGTGCACATTGATACATCCAAGAGGCACTTTAACAAGCAAGTTCTGGTTAGATATTAGAAAAAAAAAAAAACCAAAAATCTGCAGTGTGGGTGGGTCAGCATTGGAACAGATCATCCAGAGAGGTGGGATTTCTGTCCATGGAGAAATTCAGATCCAGACAGGACACTGAGCAACTTGATTTAATTCCAGAGTTGGATCTGGATTGGCCTTGGGTTGGGTTAGATGAAATTTGGATTGCTCTATGACTCCATGACAGTGGCCATATCCTTTTCAGATGTAATTGTTACAGGCACACGCGTCTTACGCTCCTTATTCAACAGCCATTTGTGTTGCACAGGGGTCTGAGTAAAACCAGTCAGCAAGATTTTGGATATGCACCTCTAGGTCTTCTGTATAATAGATTAATTAGACCAATTGGAGAGCAAATCAAGAGAAGGCTTCTTATCTATCTACCTCTGGGAACACAATGATAAGAGACCTCTGTAACTCCTACAGTTCGTGTTAGATTTCTGAAAGTTTCCTCAGTAACCCCATCCATTATAAATATTTGGCTAAGGACATTGAGCAGTATCAGAGCAGAGTGTGGTGGCAGGAGTTTAGGCTCTTTGCTCTGCAAATTCCAGAGAAAATATGTGAAGGCATCAACTTAGTAAGTGGTTTTATTGATTTGCAGGGAGGTTCGAAAGAGCAATAGAGATGTTTTGGCAACCCCTCAGGAAATAGAGCTGTTTGGGCAAATCTGTTACACTCATCTGCTTTCATAGTTCTGTAGAGCTAAAGTAAGACAAGCCAAACTGATTTTGGTAACAGTTATTACTTTAATGCAAAGCTGCAAGTGTTCTGCACAGATTGAGGGCGCTGCAGTTTCTTCTCTGCAGGGTCCCAGAGAATGGCCTTATACAGGAGCTAAGGTCAGAGCATTGCTAGGTTAGATTTACCAGAAAAGCTGTCCTGTTTTCCTGCCCAAATATTGCATAGGATTTGTCCCCACAGGTATATTAAAGTACTCACAAGAAAAATAAACTTTTACAGCATTTTTCAATGTTTACATCTTTCTTCAAATGAAAAGAACAGAGATAGTATTTTAGTAGTGTCCTGCTATGCTACAACTCTTAGCATTCTCTGTAGAACTTACCAGGAAGGATTTCATACCACTGCTCCAAATAGCTACTTATTTTTTTTGGCTATGGCTGGAAGTATCAGTTACTATAATAACACAGACGTAAAGAGACAAATATAATGGAAAGTCATTCCTTTGTTCCTCATTTGCTACATCCCCTGCTATTGCTACTAGAGGAGCTAGTAGCTGTTACAGCCAGGAGTCTGTACTTGTGTGTGAGAACAAATTCCTCACTGTCTGTACACAAAAATTCCCACGAACGCTTCCAGCTGCTGCTTCACTTTCTACTTCTGGACAACACTTAAAGAAAATTTCTCCCACTTTTCAGTGAAACAACAGTAAATTTTAGTCCAAATCATACCAATGGGACCCCACCGCAGCAGCTTTAGAGAATGGCATTTAGTTCCTTCCATATATTTATATATGGCCCATCAGGCTGACATTTTGTTTAATATAAAACTTGTACTTATGTCCGTTATGCCTACTTTGCTGATCAGATTCTGAGCTTCCTACTGTATATTATTTTGTCCACCATCTGTGCAAATGGCAGAATA